TATTGCTTTACTTAAAAGTTCGATAAAACCAGGCTCACCTGTAAATCAAACACCTACCACAGCAAATCCCAGCTGGATGTTTTGCACACCGCTGATGACAATGGTCCAGTTTTAACTCTGTGTAACTTCACACTGCACAGGAGCCTGGTCTGAATGCTCGGACACTATGAAGTAAATAAAAATGCCAGTTTGATAACTTTTTGAAGCACTAGACATCCAAAGTTGACATTAAAGACATTAAACTGCTTTCCTTAGCAAAGCTACTTACTCCATTGTGCTGGAGATGTAATCCTCAAAACCTCTTTTAGAGATGTTATTTTTTATATACTGATCTCTTCAGAGTCTTCAAGAACACATACAAAACCCTCAACTTTGCTACAGTAGCTGGTTACTTCAAAAGTGACTTGCCAGAAACACAGCATTACCCGTTCCTGTGACAAACTCAACCCCAAGCTGACAGCCATGAAAGCCACGTTACCATCCACACAAGAACAATGTGCACATGGCACATCTGGAAAATGGTGAAAAAGTTTTCAACTTCCAACACTGATTAAATCACCGGAATTCCCAAATTTAAACTCAGCCTGTATTACCAACTGCACATATTTGAATAACATATATTACATAAAATTTTACAAGAACAAACCTGTGTTATTTTATTTTCAGTCTAAGAAATTAATGTGCAATGCTGTCAAGAATGAAAGAGTAGCAGAAACAGCCCTGTGGTTGAAACTTATGTGTATTTAATCATTAAGAGTGCTGCCAAGTTGATTCCACGCAGATGCTTTCCCGGCAGCTGAGTAAAGCTGTGCTTCCTTGTCTCCAAACCTACAATTCCCAGAACCCATTGCAACAAACCCGCTTAATGTTAAGTCATCCTCAGCTACCAGAATTTTTACAAAGACAGATTCTTCAAAAGTTCGTGAACCTTTACTCGAAACTCCCCTACCCTTCATCTCGCCCCCACACTTCCTATTTTTATGGTATACAGTTAAAGCAGTGAACTAGTTTCTATAAATCTACTACTGCATCCTTGCAATAAAAATACTGGCAGAGAAAAGAAGTAATAAATCAAAGATGAAAAACAACTTAGACAAACACTTTCCATGCTGGAACACATTTTTTAAGGATATAGATGAGCCATGCGGGAAATGAGAAGAACAGAACAATCCATCTTTTGATAATTGTGAAAGAAACAAAGACAGTGATTAGAAATTAATTTATATTGAACAATACTCAACCAAAAAGCCTGAATTAAGAACATGCTGAGTGCCAAAGAGAGCTCAGAGATACAGCACGTGTTACTGAGCTTTTTGTGCTAGACAATTAAGTGAAGCAATTAGATTTGAGAAAGTAGCCAATTATTTTAGGACTGAAACAAAGGCTGGAGGAAATACAGCTGCCTGCGCGTGAGCAATGGAGAAAAAGGGAAACAAAGCATTGCGTTTGAAATATTCATGACAACCAATTTGTGTAAGAGGAATTTTAATTAAAAGTATAGAAAACGTCTTTTAACTTGGTAATGAAAAGAATGCAATTTAAAACAAAACAAAACAACTTAGTATGTGACAGGTAACTGGTATCTTCAAAAATCCTAGGAAATGGCCAGCAAGTGCTGGAAGGGACTGTGAAGTGACATGGAAAAACAACCCTCCAAAATGAGGATTCTCCTGTGATGACACTTTATGCTCTCAACATATTTTGATGTGTTGTTTTCTCAAGGCTGTAAGGCTCTCAAGAGACCAAATGGAAAAGGTTTTAGTAATTCCTCACAGGAAGATACTCTTGCAGAGTATCATAGAGAATTTGATAAAATGGGTAATTAATTTACTTGTCTTTTAAGTATTTTATCTTTAAGCACATTCAAAGCTTTAAGCGCGCACTAACACTTTGGTGCCAGCATATACTTGACAGAACACTGAAGCCTCCATCAATTTAACTTCTGAACACATCCTGTAAAAGCCTCAGCAGGTTTAGAATAAGCCATAAGCTGCGTTTTTAATTAATTATAAAACAAATACAACGTCCTTACCACAGCACGACTAGCAGAGAACACAACGGCAAGGCACTTCCTCAGAGAAGGCCGAGCTCCCATGCACACACGCTGCACTGCAACTCAATTTTAGGCTCCTGAGGGCTGGCAAGAGATTTTTTTTTTCCCCCTTCACACTTCCCTGCATGACAGCATTCAAATGCTACTCCTGCTGGGAAAACTATAGCCTTTTTAGCACTTCTGAGAAATTTGATGACAAAGCTTTTTGCCTATTTTTTATAACGTTCCAAGAGGGACATTGGTAACGTAACGCCTGTTCAGCACCACTCCTTGCTTTAACGTGTCCTTAACATTTATCTTCTCCCAATCAGAGGTTTCATCACAGACAGCAATCCCATTACACAAAAACAACAGAAATGGAGGTTTTTTTAAGGAATTATTTTTTAATGAAATGTGCACAAAATAATACAATATAAAACTCGAATTCAAGTTATAAAAATAGGCATATTCATTAGAAAATAAGACTGCTAGCTGGATCACAACACATTTCCTTACAAATTGCACCCTTTTCCCTTATCCCTCCTCCCAATAAAAAGGTTTTGTTCCCTTTGCTCCAGTTTATTTCATTTGACTTTGTTCTCACATAATCTTTTTAATCTCTAATAAAAACAGTTTTAATTGGCCCTGAGGTACTGCAGACCGACGCAGTCTGGGTCATTGCTTTCATACGCCGTAAAACATCCACTATTTGTACAAATCCTTAGAGACAAGAGTTTTTTATCTTCTGAGGCAGAATACTTCTTGTAGCTGATGAGTGCTTGGCTACAACTAACAAGTTATTCCTATTGATTCTTAAAATACCCTGGTTATTTGCAGTAGGCAGTATACTTCTTTTCACATTCCAGATAAATCTATCTTCTGTGAACCAGAAGACTTATTACAAGTGGGCAAGAAAAACATGTTACCAGACAGACTGAACCTGGAACTGCTGCAGAGCTGTTTCACCACAAACATAACTCATCTCACTGCTCACAAAGATTGCTTAGAGGCCTGAAGGAAAAAAGGCTGAAGCAATCATTTTCTTTAAATACCGTAGAACGAAGACTGTATGTATTAAACAAAAACCTCCAAAACATTTGAGCTAGTCATTTAGCTCAAGTGCAGCACTGTATCTCCTACTGCAAGTCTGGAATTGACAACTGACACCGGCAGTATCAGAGCAGGCACTTAAGAGAACCGTACCTGCCTAAAAGGCAGACAAGTGGGGATGTCTGTATTACCCATTGCTCCTTTCCTTGGATAGTCTCAGATATTTCATATTCTACAATTAGAAAGATACTTGTGAGAATCATTTAAGGAAAAACCTTAATGGAAAGGTAAGTTCACACTACAGCAGTTTCCATTAACTACAATCAAGTATTCAAGTGTCGTCGTCGTCTGAACTAGAGGCACCAACTGCAACAAAAACTTGAAAATTACCAAAGGTCACAACATTTATGCAGGGTAGTGGTGTTAGGCAGAGTAGTGGTACATTATACGCTGACACCCGGCCTCCACAGTAACAGCACCATGTAGAAAGAACCTGAAAGGAGCTACAAGTCACACAGGTACAGTAGCAACTGAGAAGCCTCTCCTCTTCAAGTATCTACTTACGTAGTTAGAAGGATGTTTGCAGTAACAAACAATCCCAGTCATTCAAGCAGTAATGATTTCAGAGGAGTTTTCCCCCTCACACAGGGGACAGTCCCCAGAGGCCTCTACAGCCCTGCCTGTCTTGAAGCTTGTGCAATTTTTCCAGCCATAAGCTAGGTGTGAAGGCCATTTTTTTGAAGTCTGTTCCAAATCAAAGCTGAAAACTGAATCTGGTCTCATTCATCTCTGCGAGTTGCTTACAACCACTTTCAAGAAGTATCAAGGCACAGGACTGAGCCAAAAAATTGCAGAGGACTTGGAAGAGCCACTGGATCTGGAGCAACCTGTGAAGAGAACTGTGGCAAAAGACAGCTGATCTTCACAGGATACCACGAGGGACAAATCTGTACTACATATTTGCTCTCAGTAGGCTTTTACGCCCCTCCACTGAAAAGAAACCAGTATGTTTTCTAGGTTTTTGTTACAGTACACACTTTTGTTAACAAGAGCACAGATAACTGCAGCTTGCTTGTAAGGGGAGCTGCAACTTCCAGCGGACACGACCAGACTCTGTAATACAGGTTATGAAAGGATTCCTAGCAAAGGATCTTGAAACATTCATGGCAGTAAAAAGAGGCTGCTGTAAACATCTGTGAGACACACCCAGTTTCTCTGATAGTTTCAGAACACCTCCTTCAGGATGAAGGAGGCACTTGATATGGACATTTGATTTCAACTAGTTCATTTTCAACCTGGGCACATTTTCTGCCATGAAAGAGCCACTACAGCAGTTACCAGCCCTCTTGCACTGCAGCCTTTCGGCCTGAGGTCACAGTCATCTTCGTAGCCTTTTACAGAGAGCAAAATTTGACAAATTATGGCAGATACTATCTTAAGCTACTCAAAAGTAAACTCCAGTACACAGCTAAGAGGCCTACTCCTTCCCTCTTTCACACTACAGTTGTAATAGGCCACACGCAAAAAACCAAATCCAAACTCCCCATGAAATTTTAAATTACAGTTGCCTCAGAAGTGTCCCATGGATGTACTTCCAGAGAAGATGTGTCTGAAAAGCACCTACAGGAAAGCAAATCTTGTTTTCAGGTGGGTGGTAGAACAGAAGCGTGAGGATTTCTACAAAATGGAGTTTAGGTCTACAAGTTAAAATCTCTTAAAGGTAGCATCAAACTACCTGAATGGAATTTGGGTTTATGTTAATCTTCATCTGACCACAAATCAACCTGCTAAGGCACACAAATTAATGGCAGAATAACTAACAGAAGCAATGATATTGATTTTGGTTCCAAAGGGTAGAAGGCACGTTTACTTTTTTCATCCACTATCTGTGGGACGTGGAAGTGGTTTTATACTGATTTCACCTGGTTCCAGCATTCAGTAGTGAGAGCTCCTGTTCAACTCTGTCTGCCACCAAATTCAGATTACAGCCCCGAAGAGCTTTTATTAAGTCAGTCACTTTTGCATCTTTTCCCTTCCATTTCTGCCACTCTCGAAGAGACTGAGCCAACTGTTCACGCAAGTTAAACGGATTGGCTGCCACTACTCTGTCCATTTTCACTTCAGAAATGCCAAGTTTTCGCATCACCATTTTCCAGTCTCTCCCAACGTTTTCACATATGACTTCAATTGCTGCCTTCTGAAGACCTAAAACAGCAAAAATATATCAGGTTAGCAATGGGTTTATTAAGAAATACAAGACAATTTTTAAAAGGTTGTTTGTTTTAGTTTGTTGGGTTTTTTTTTTCAGCTAAATGCTACTACTCTTGCTGCGTGGCACATACTGAGTGTCACACCGTGTTCTGAAAAGCCTCTAGATATACTCTGAATCCCAAGTACATAGCACGATTTCCAAGCGATCATTCAATTTAAAAAGGGAAGAGATTTCCACCCCGGAAAGCTGTTTGCAGCATACGCTGCCAGGGTACCACACAGTCCCATGCAGCAGTTAGCGGCAGAAGCACCTGTAGCAGTGGGCTCAGCTACAGCAGGAAACCGAGGGAGCCGTGCTCTGTTTGCTCTAGGCATCCCCACTGACAGCAGATACATACAGATCTACTGGGCTTACTCGGAGGGGTGGGCGGGGGTGGGGTGGGGTGTGTGTGTGTTTAGAAAAATAATCCACCTACGTCTTTCATGCACATCTGGTTGATCATCAGGAGCGTTTACTTCTCCTTCCTCCACGAACTGCTGTAGCTGTGAGACCAAATCTTCTCTTTTAATGCTCTTCAGCAAGCCTTGAAGAAACGCCACCTTGTCCCTCGCAATCAGGTGCTGCTCGAGAAGGATGCTGAAGAGCTCCATGCCATTCCGGAGAGACTGAAGCTTCCCTTTCCCAATTGTCTCCCGGCAGAGAAACTTCATGGAAGAAAGCTCACCGTCAGACAAGCTGGAGGAGAAAGAGTGCAGCAGAATCAAAAACGGATCCATGGTGCCGAGGCCTACACCGCACCCACCACCGGGCCCGGGGCGGAAAGGCTGGCGGAGCCCCGTCCCCGCCCTCCGGGGGCGGACTGAGTTCTTGCTTCCACAGAGCGATTTCCAAGGAGGCCGAGGAGGCGCGGGGAGACCAGACCAGACC